ATTCCCCCCCCCCCCAAAAAAAAACCAGCCCTCTATCTGCTGCCAAGTAGGCTGGGATATTCCCCTGCCAGGAGGGCGAAGCAGAGGGAGCTTTACCACCCGGCCAGGGCAGGAGCTCCAGGATGAGGCCGTTCCTCTGGGCTGGCACAGACGCTGGCAGTATTTCCCCTTGCATGATCAGGAACCGAGAGGTTGCCCTCCACCCCAAGGGGTGGCTGCCACCCTCCAGCCAGGGCCTGGGTCACACTCAGAGAGCTCTCCACGCTGCCGGCCTGTTGGCTGACATATTTTAATGGGCGAGTCACCGTGGCCAACCTCTGACCCAAGGAGAGAGGGCCTAAAACAGCTCTAACAGCAAAAGACGAGCTTACAGTCACACCAGCGCTTAGGGAACAAGCGTCTTGCCCCCTCATCGAGAAGGAGGACACACAGCGAGGGCACCCGGGGTCTCGCTGGCTCCTTCTCCTCGTTAGCGCTGTGGCGAGGAGGGCTGTGCTTGCTCGCTGGCAGGCTGCGCCGGGGCATGATTTGCTCACAAAGCTGAGGACAAAGACGCCCTCACGGAGCCGCCTGGCCCCTCAGTCCGCGCTCAGCTGGACGCCTCCATCTCGATGACTTCCTCAAGCGGCTGCGTCTGCACTTCCACCTTCTTCGGGGGGATGTAGGAGCCCATCCCGGCGGCACGTTCTGCCTCCTCCTGCGTGTACGGTGCCTCCCGCAGCTGCTTCAGCCTGCGGGGAAGGAAGAGAGGAGGGCTGAAGCCTTCCACCCCACCTCCTCAAAATAAGACTTCCCCCAAACTGACACTGCCACCTGCCTCACCCCAATGAAGTCAGGGCAGGGGGCTGCAGCCTGCTCCGGGGCAGGGCATGGGCCCACGGGGATGCTCTGGGCCCCACTCAGGCCCCCCCTTACCTCTTCTTGTGAACCTTGGACCTGAAGTGCTCCTTCATGCTGGTCAGGTCCACAAAGTAGCGCCTGGGGAGGATAAAAGGCCTGGGGTCAGGGTGCCCTGACATAGGAGCGGGGCTGGGGAGAGCCCTACTGAGGAACCAGGGTCCCCCCACACCCCTGGAGCCAGTCCCCCAGGACCAGGGTCCTCCCTGACACCAAAACAAGCTCCCCCCAAGGGCCAGGGTCCCTCCCAAGACCAGGACAAGCTCCCCCCCAGGGGTAAGAGCCCCTGTCACTGGGACT